TTGTGTTTTGTTTTGTTTTGTTGTTGGTTTTTGTGTTTGTTTTTGTTTCGGGGGGGGAGGGGGCGGTCCTAGTTTACGAACCCATGTTCTCCTTTTAGCAAGCCAGATCCTACGCAATTGGGGTTACATGGATGACAAGTTTTTATTCCATGCCAATTTCGTCTCTTCTTTCATCCTCAGAAGTCAGAAAGCACTTGTGCAGAACGTTTGAGCGAGATCTGAAACTTGAAGCCAATCACGCTCTGTGTTCTGGATTCAGGAAAGTGAAAACGGAGCAACGCTTCCAGATTGGAATTCACTATTTTTCTCATCCTTCGAAGAATCAAATTGAAAGCCATTTTTTTTCAGTGCGCTGCCATAAAAAAGGTAGTGGAAGTTCTAAAAATCTGTTCTATAATAGTGTGTTAATAATTCTGAGGCAACGATCAGAAAAACGACAAGCATTTCGGCAGAAAAATCATCTGGGTCAACTCGAGGAAGGACGTGAGAACTCTTGAACCGAGGGCCGACTTCGCAACAAACAAAGATGGCGGACACCCAACCAGCAGGACATGATAATCCGGGGTTTGCTGAAGACAGCAAGGTGAGTAGTTTGTTTGCTTTTGAATGAGTTCAACGTCCTACTCAATTGCAACATACCACTTCGGAGGAATGAAGTCAGATATATATAATAATATACTACGCCTTGATTAAGTAAGTTCAATGTCGCACTCTGATTCTAAACAACGATTGACATACATGTATTATTGTTATTATTATCTTTTCTGGGGGGGGAGGGGGGGTTGTTTGTTTTGTTGTTGTTGTTGTTGTTGTTGTTGCTATTTTTGTTTTGTTTTTTATTTGCTTGTTTGTTTGGGTGTTGTTGTTTTGTTTGTTTGTTTGGTTGTTGATGTCGTTTTCTTGCTGGATTTTTTTGTTTTTGGGGGCACTAAGTGAACATCATTAGTTCTTTGTTTGTAAGTTTGTTGGTTCGTTCTGTTGCTGTTTGTATGTTTGTTTACTCAAAGCAACCCATTCTCATTTCACAGTGTTACAGAGCCGTTCAAAGACTATGCCTTCTTCTTCTTCTTCTTCTTCTTCTTCCACCACCACCC